GACACCTATTAACACTTTTTTCTGTAAAATCAGGCGGCTATCCCGCCAAGGGCACTTATATTATTACTCTCTTGGTATACTCCTAATTAAGTAAAATATTTCTATTATACAGGATTAAGAGTAGGTTCACGTAGCTTGGTCGTTTCATGGGTAAAACCTTACAAAATTATAGTTTTTACTATCCACCCTTTTTGCTTCGTCATCAGACCGTCGTCGTTACCAAACCCTATCTATTGTTCTCGACGATACTCGAAACAAACCATATTAGTAAAACTCGAGGGGTTAATTCCTAACCACTGAAGCGTTCAATATGCACCTCCTGGCTCCGAAATCAGATAAACTCCAAGATGCCAAACTATAGTATTGTCATCCAAACTTACATTCAAGGACATTCATTACATATTTCAACAACGTAGCATATGAAATTTTGCTTCGATATTACAATTAGAAGTAGGTAAAAATTAAGTTCAAAGATTTGTTTACATAGTTAATTATTTTTTTGAATCATTATTTAATTAGTTACTATTTTAGTAACTAATTAAATAATGATTACTTAAATAATATTACTTTACTATTTTAGTTTTTTGGGCACCACGTTAAAGAGCAAAACGACACAGATGTTTTCGAAACATTCCCGCACCCATGAACTCGGCCTTAAAATTCATAGTTTCGCTATAAACACGAAAATGACTCACTAAATCTGTTCTGTCGTTTTAAACCAGCTTACAGCTGTTCAGAAGTCATCACTTCTGTATGAAAATGAATGGAAAGCCCACTATCGTCTATAAATAAACGTTCACGTTACATTATTATGAACGAACGCAAAACAACGGATATGAATGTTTGATCGCGTAATGATAACATTTCAATAAACGGAAACGCCTACTTCCTGTAGTTAAAGGACAAAACGCACTTGACGCCATTTGAGATGACATTGTTGATACACAAGAAGGCTTCTAATACTCCATTCAAGCTTTAAATACCATCAAATCTATTGATATAGAGGTACGAAGATAAAATCTGAGTAAGTAGCTAACAGTGTTGGAATTGCATGAACTGGGTATTGCTATAGATGTACGTAGATAAAGTCTGAGTAAGTAGCGCGCAGTGTTGTAATTGCATTAGCTGGGTATTGCTATAGATGTACGTAGATAAAATCTAAGTAGCGCGCAGTGTTGTAATTACATGAGCTGGGTATTGATATAGAGGTAGGTAAGTAGATAAAGTCTGAGTAAGTAGCGCGCAGTGTTGTAATTGCATTAGCTGGGTATTGATGTAGAGGTAGGTAAGTAGATAAAGTCTGAGTAAGTAGCGCGCAGTGTTGTAATTGCATGAGCTGGGTATCGGTATAGAGGTAGGTACGTAGATGAAATCTGAGTAAGTGGCTAGCAGTGTTGTAATTGCATGAACTGGGTATTGGGATAAAAACTGAGTAAGTGGCGCGCAATGTTGTAATTGCATGTACTGGGTATTGATATAGATGTGCGTAGATAAAATCTGAGTAAGTAACTAGCAGTGTTGTAATTGCATGAACTGGTATTGGTAAATCTGAGTAAGTAGTGTTGTTATTGCATGAACTTGGTATTGTGCCGAAACCCATTTGTCTTGTCTGGGATATTTTCAAACTAGTTTCCGTCAATTAACATACACTAAGATTGACGACGTGTATAATTTAGGTTGGTTGTGTATAACCTAGGTATAGCTAGATAGCATAATAAAGATACTAACTCTTCCCCAAATTATTAAAATAGAAATAAGAGTTGACTAGCTAAATACGGGCCTCCCAATATATACAATACCGAAGTAGATGAAGATGTAGATGTCTAGTGTGGAAAATACACTTTAAACTTAATCAACCTAAAACGAGGATCAAAAAAGAATTGAAGCCGTCACGTCATCAGTTATTCCTCGTTTTTGCTCGAAACGTTCTTTCATGATACATTTTACTCGTCCTAAGCATACTGCCGCAGTGCTTAGAAATTCTATTAAAAAATTACAGCAAGAGCAATAATCAATTGTCAAGCAAACCTTTATGCTAAAGCTATCGGCGGAGTCTGACAATACAACCTACGTATCAGTAGATATTAGAATAATTTCATCATTCTATGAGATCACTGCAACCCACATCATATATACCTTGTTCGATTTGAACATCTGCCGAGTCTGACTATAACAAATGTGTCACCATATAAACCAAAAATTTACAAATGCTTACCATTCAAAAAGGTATTCAAATTGCATGACACAGACAAATATTGTTTAAGTAAGCTAAAATGTTACACTCATCACATCATCATTACAGCATTCTAATATTGGAAATACGATAAAGCAAGGTTTAATAATTGTAATAATAAATTAATATCTATGTACGTAGTCATTATTGTGTATAAACATTATTCCTACAATTCAAGATCTCTTGATATTCTTATAATCTAGCATCTATTTCTATCAAGGAAGATTTCACTTTTTTATTTACACTAAAGGTTTATTAATGTACTTAAAAATCGGGGATTTCCGTAAGGTCATCGTAAATGAATATCAAAGTTAATCCCCGATTTGTAGTTTACATATTATCTTGTCGTAACGTTCAGGATCATCCATGTTATCTAACTTTAACAAACGCCCCCCACTGGCAGTGTCGTATTTACCTTAGGGCTTGGGGACACGACCTCGCGCCTCGGAGCGCCGCGGTGCCTCACTAGAGGCGCTACTGGCGCCTCTAGTGAAATCTCTAGTTTAAATAAAGCGTTTCCTTATGTAGAGCTGACCTCACGATGTACATTATCAAACTTTAAAAAAAACAGTGTCTACAGGAAACATTGTTTTTTTTTTAAATTATTATTATAACAATGCCCCTTACGCATTTGAAAAAAGAAAAAGGTAAACGTAGGACGAATTAAGGTTATATTATAATTATTTTAAATACATCAACACTAACTTAAATAAGATTAATAGTTTCATAATTCGAGAGGGGTTCGATTATTCCCACCCAGGACAAATAATTGTGTAATGAGCACGGTCATTTCTTCTGTGTCTGGGTGTACTTTATATGTTTTTATTTAAAAATATATATGTAGGTATGTATTTCATTATTCTGGTTAGCATAGCAGGGGGTCTGCCTAGTTTGGGATCAGACTATATAGATTTTAGAAACTTTGTTTGTTTTAAATCTAATACAAAAAAAATGCTTTTGACTAAAACGAAAATATCTACCTCCTGGCTTGATCATCAGACAGCTATCGTTGCCAAGACAAAGTCGAACCTGCTAAAAGGATTGACTAGTGAAGACTGAAGATTTCAACAATCACCTCCTGGCCCCCTCACTAGGTTAATTTAACGATGTCAATGAAAAGTATTGTGAACATGAAATTATACATACTACAAAGTTTATAGTTCGTTTATAGTTTATAGTAGTTTACCTAGTTTATATTTACACTTTTTATAGGTACGGCAATTAGAAATACGTAAAAAAAAAGAATTTTGAAAATCGGTTCACAATTGACGAAGTAATCGATGAACATACATAAAAAAAAAAAACAGTGGAATATAGAACCTCCTCCTTTTTTGAAGTCGGTTAATTACTTAGAATTAAGAGTTGTTTACAAATATTATTTCACATAGTGACAAGTGTACCAAAAATGCTTGTTAATAAAATAAAGACATATTAACCCATTTTCAGGCACTTTGAAAAACTGTGGTTATAAATAAATGAAAAGGGTTACCAAATTTTCATGTGATGTATGAGAACTAAACATGCGATTGCTGATGTAAATTGACACAAACGTAAACGCATTTCATTTATATTAACTTCTGACGTAAAGAGCATTATATTGAAACACAATGTAGGTAGGTAGAAGATAGTAGATAAATGATCTTCAAAGACCCAACGGCTTAAACTAAACGTAGTATGTAAGTATTTGCGCCTACCTGATGAGCAAAATATGACCTTCAAAGTAGGTAATTATAAATGTATTTGCCCGTCTCATTCCACTTACGATCTAAGTACTAACATACATAGTATTGTCACGCGTCGCTACTGCTAACGGCATGTCGTATTACAACCTCATTTTGCCAGTCTAATAGCATTACTGTCGCATTATTCGGAGCGATGTGCAGAACGTAAAGGCGTAGCCTTAGCCGTAGTTGATTCCACTCTATCGATTCCGCTGTTTTTTATATCTCTGTTGATATACATATACACCATCATGTTCTTCCTTACATACAGAGTTTGTGACAATGAATGGTTTTCGGTGTTTTCATACACAACTATTGAAACAAACTCAAACAAAGGTGAAAAGTCAACACACGTGAACAGTCGCACGCAACAGACGTCGATATTTCTGCCTGACAATCAATGTACACGCTATCGGACATTTATCAGTGTCATTCTGTCGTTATTTTATCGGTTAACAATAGCGAGGTGATAATTTGAGCATGATTGACAGTCATCTTCTCAATTATTCAAGAAAGATTTGACGTTTTAAATATTATCTTAGTTATACAAATACCTTACCTTCTATACATATAAGGTAACATTCAAATATGAAATAATGTAAAGGAAAATGTCTTATCTTTTCTGTGTAAGGGGACCACAGTAGCTAAATTTCTCATTTTTGAAATGGTTTATTGCAAAATAGAAAAAAAATTGATAGGTAAGTTTATTAGGCTTCAGATATTCTGATTCAGCGAGTAAGGAAACTCAGCATAATAGTGACACATTGGCGATCACTACCTTCATTTTCTTTTTATGCTTCCTTCGAAACCACATTGTGTACAAATTATTCAAAACTATAAGAAAGTTTTAATAAATGTACATCTAATATATAATAAATATCTTTTAAACGTAATGACTGCCTGTACCTACTTAATTTTTTAATTTGAATACGATTGTGAGTCATATTTTAATTTATATTACATATAAAATGTAACATTGTGACATTATAAACTGTTCGAATACTTTAGTTTTATATTTATTTTTTATGAATAGTGGATACACTGACCTGGTAAAGCTTAATTATATGAGGGTGATCCAGTCTCTTCATAATATCCACCTCCCTGTAGACTTTCTGAAGATTACTGGCGTCTAATTGTGATTTATCTATTATCTTAATTGCTACCTGCAACAAGAACAAACATATATTAATTTATTTATGAAACATTTGTAATCTATTTTTACAAAAATCTTAAGATGCTTTGTGTACGCTTCAAAAACTCAAAAAGTTCTGCACCCATTGAGCTTAAATTTTGACATTATTATACAACCCGCATTATACAAGTTTTTCTTGCATAAAACTAAAGTATTATATTCTGGTTCCTCAGGATTAAGAGAAATATAGGATAGGTTAGGGAGGGTTTTAAAAACCAATAAAGATTTTCTTAAATCTCCTTAAAGAACAAGAAAAAACTACATTAAAATTGCCGGTTGTCTAAAACTGCCCATCTTTTTTTCTGCATTTCGACCAACCAATTTTGCTCTATTGAAGTTTCATGAACTTTTAATAATTTTTTTCAATCATGAGTGATTTGATGATGATTTAATGTCAAATCTTGCCTCCAATCAATTATATATTAACAATTTACAAATTGTTTGCGTATGATTAAAGATATTACAAAAGATTCTGGGATCAATAAAAGGAGATAATGGAGAGCGGAGGCAAAGATACAATCGTGAGATAGAGTCTAGTGTCAGAGCCGAATATAATCGGGGAAATAAAAGCTGCCTTCGCTTGGTCACATAGAAAGTATGGCAGAAGCCGAAAAGAGCATATCTCGGGCAACCCATCGGCAGGGCGGCCGGTGGTACAACCCAGATACCGCTAGAAAGATGAGGTTGCCAAAGATCTGAAAGCGACGAAAGTGCCCGATTGGTCTTAACTGGGACAGGATTGGAAAGAATGGCGCACTATAATGTTGGAACAAGACAACATTTTAATTCGCTGGGCCAGCAAAACAAAAAAGTAATGATGAAAATTTTAGAACTGCAATACAATGGGTATAGGGATTGAATCCTATATACTAGCAACTGATGTTCACTACCGCATGCGCTTCCCCACAGATTAGAATTTTAAAGAAAGTATAAATTATGCTATTTTCAACCATTTATAAATAAGCCTTAAAAGTTATATAATATAATAAGAAATAGGAGTTGTAAGTTCTTTTTTGTAATTTATGATGTTCCTAATTCAGAGACCAGCATTTTCTTGCAAGTCGAAGTTTTAAAAATATGACATGTAAATAAACCCTTGTACTGAAGCACAAACTTATTTTTTACTATTTTAAGATACTAATATAAGAAGAACAAGAATATTATAGTATATACAATAAAAATATAATATAATATAGAGAAACGTTATCATTTATTCAAGTAACTTTTTTCAGCGGAATAGTACCGTTAATGCCTGCTGAGTCTCCATCTACACAAAGGGGCGCTGACGTCAAGACGAGCGTCATAAACGATCATACCAATTGACGTGATTGTGGCAACGGTTCCTTCCACCGCAGCGAGGTGACCAGCAACATACTCGTACGGTTAAAGGAAGAGAAAGCGCGTATTTACATTTATTTAGCGAATAATGTTTTTAATTGCGTAGTGCTTTAAGGAATTTGTAATTATAAATTTCTGATTAGATATTCATCAATCTTTAAAAAAAACGTTAACGTTAACGAAAAAAGATTAATAAAAACAAATAACCAAAGAAAAATATTAATAAAAATTAACGTTAATGATTTTACTAACTAAAAATATTGTACTGTTGAATATCAACGTCTAAAAAACTAAATGTATAAGAATATCAACATCCAAATCAGAAATAATTAATCTGTAAGTGACTGAATAATATACTCGTACCTATACAAATGAAACATCGATTCAGTTCCGTCCTATGATATTTTCTTATTATCTCCATTTTACATAACTACACAAAATCAAGTACCTGTGTGGCTAGATATCGTGACGCAATCACTCTCAAGGCCTTAATAAGAATGATTAAATCTATTTCAAAAATAATGCCAATAATAAGTTAAATATATTATATTCTCCTCAACGTAGTCGCAAGTGGGACATTATCCAAACTATTGTCTCATTGACTTTTATGAAACAGTCGTTGCACAAGAGTCGTGGAGAACCCAAACGCAAGAAAGCCATGCACACAAACACTCAGTGTGATTTTTAGCACAGTTTTTTAGTGTTTCTTTTTATTTATTTATTTTAATACTTCCTGCAAATACTTAAAGTACCGGAATACTTAAGGCGGACTTCTTACAGTCGTCTTTTGGGTAATGCCAAGCTGTGTATTATTCATTATTATGTATGTTTTGTTGTTTTTTTATTGACATATGAATGTATAATTGTATTTACATCCATATGTATATACACTAACGTCCTTATCCTCGGAGGGATAGGCTGAGGCATATTTTTTACGTTTTGATGTAGGGAGGTGATTGCATCTCATTTAGTGGCATTTGAACAAAAAGTTCTATAAGCGTATTTTTTTAATTATCGAATACAATTGGCTATTCACACTATAGTGTAGTTTATTTAAATAAACAACCAAGAATAGTATTTACCAAAAACTTAATTAAAACAACTAGGTTACAAAACTCAATGAAATCCCCCGAGATACCTACATTGTTTGTAGGACAGATATTAAAACGGAACACAGGGACAGATACAATTGTAATTGCAGTAATAGAAGCTAAACTACCGGTCAGCTGATCTGACATTGACCTCATTGTCCAGATAACAGCATTGCGCACACGACGATGTTACGTCACAAGATTGGAACACCCTCTCCTGCAAGATTAATTTTATAAATAGGCTACCTCGCAGCAAGATATCGTTTGTGCACTTAGTAAAATGTCGATTTCACAATTCTCTAATTGGATGTTTAATTTTCTCTTGAATCTCGGTATATTTATGACTTGGAAATATATTGTCTTATATCGTGGTTTACTATAACTTTAACTATCATCCGTAAGAACGCGAAACTTTGTAGGTTTTCGCTGATTAAAAATTGTAGCTTTCTGCACTTCTTTTACCTTGAGTATTTTGTAGTTCACATTAATCTGTAAGCAACATTACTCGGCACAAAGAATTCTCGTGCATTCTGCTCGTAATATCACAAATAGAGAGTATAATTCAGCATATGTGTCGGGCTCATTTTTTTGTCAACCTATAACTTTCACATACCGTATACTGGCGTAAACTACCAATCCATAATATATTAACACAGATTCCACAATTCAGGTGTTGACAGGTCGAGGACAGTCACTGCTGTTTAATAAAAAAGTAATGCAGTCACTGCTATATGACTCTATTGTTTATTTAACAATGTAAAGTTGCAGTGGAAATTAAGACACATATTTTTTGTTTCACACTTCATTTCCTAACTACATACTGGTCTACACTAGTCTTACATAAAAATAACTAAGCCAAGCCACGTCCGTCTGGTGACGGATTAAGAATACAGAGTGTAGCCACCCCTATTCATCCCGTGTGGGTGTCGCAAGAGCCGACTAAGGGCGAAAAATACGCAGGACAACAACACTCCAAAGGGAAGGCAAACTTGACATAAATCCTTTTTTTTTTTTTTTTACGTGTGGTAATCCCCTCGGACCGTCACCCCGCCGGGGCTCTCGTTCGGCGTCGCGGCGTGTCGGACTCGAACCGACTAAAACCACACGGTGTGCCCTCTTTGCGCTTCCAGTTTAGGAGGGGTCCAGGTAGTTATCGCCTTCTGGACCCCTCCCAGCGCTGGCCCGCTCCTGGCGCGGGCTCCGTCTCAAGGACCTCTCTTTAGGCGACGTCCGGCACACGCGGACGCTGCCCCCTCGCGGCTGGCCAACTAATGCGGGTGGAGGGGAGAAACCATCCGGTCCACCCGCGGCCACACTCAGGGCGGCATGAGGCGCAGGTGAGCGCGCCTCCGCCGCCCGGTTCGCCGGCGGCGGATCAGGTCCGAGTGGAGGTCGTCCTCCCGGGCCTCCTCCGCCGCCTCCTTTGCGACCGCGGTAAAACAACTTTCGCTACCGGCCATGGAGCGGATTACGGCCGGTAGCGAGAGATCTGCTCCGATGACTGCAGTGAGGGCCCGGCGCTGCGTCGCCCATGCGGGGCAGACCGCCAGCGTGTGCTGGGCCGAGTCCTCACTGCATTCGCAGTGGTGGCAGGCGGGACTCGATTCCCTCCTAGCGACCGAGTACAGGTACTTTCCGAAGCAACCGTGCCCGGAAAGCACCTGCGTCAGCCGGAAGGTAAGGGTCCCGTGCTGCGCCCTGCCCACTCAGCGATGACGGCGATACCAACCCGTCTAGCCAGCACGGTATTGTAGGCCAGAACCTCCTTTCTGGGAGAGGCCTATGTCCAGCACTGGACCATTAAAGGTTGTTGATGGTGATGATAATGATTTATTAAGCCAATTACCTATTTTTAATATCTCTGTTCATATCTAGCAATCATTGAAAATTTCGTTATAAAGAAGTTTTAAGATAAAATCGTAATGTAAAGGTCAATTTTGCATTAATTTTTACTGCTTACAGTTCTCGGAGACTAAGTTTATTTAAGGCTATAATTATATTAAGATAACACCGTATATACCGTATAGCTATATACCGTCCATTATTATTACTTAATTTACTTTTGAAAAAACAGTAACTAAGCACTTTAATTATGTTTTACATTACGTGTTACCTACAGAAAAACTATGTACGTATTTAACGTCATACTACAAATGCCCAATAAATGAAATGTCTTTTGGTCTTGGAAATAGTCTTCGTAAAGCACATTTTTTTTAAAGATTCTTCGTCTGATTTGTGACGCATTTTAACCAGTGGCAGAGGTAAGTGCCCGCTTCGGAATCTCAATTGCACAACACGGAAAGACTTTTTTAACGAAATGAATCGAGGAAACCGCCTGGGTGTAGTGTGTTACCATAGAAATCGTAATAATAAAACAATAGTAAGTGTATGTTGACTGCACGGATGGCGTAGTGGTTTAAGCGGTCGCCACGCCGCTTCCTACTACGCCGAGTGTTGTGGGTTCAAACCCCACATGGGACGACACTTTGTGTGATCCACAAATTGTTGTTCTGAGTCTGGGTGTTCTTTGTGTCCGTTTCAT